ACCCGGCTCGGTGACCCGGCCCAGAACTGGCCCGGATTTACTGGTTTTTGAACCGAACCTTTAGCCCTTAAGGGTCGATTCCGGGTCGTAATTTTTCTTTTTTGACCCGCGGTTCCGGGTCAGAAGGCGATAGTTTATTTTATTATTTTTTAAATAAAATTGACACCTCTAATTTGGGAAATATTATGATGACATGGCGTTAACATCGTTAACCCCACTGTTTAGTCAGTTCGACAGACCCATCATCAAATATCATGAGAAAACAAATTAAAAAATGAAAAAAAGTACCTTACGAGAAACCGACCTGTTTTTTAGACCTTTGAATGAAAAATTTTATTTTGATTCTAGTACTAGAGAGTGACCAACAGACCTTGTGGTTGGCCTCGTATATCTTTATCTAGCGAATGCAGAACCGACTTAAGGGTTACCCATTGCGCTTCTGTATGCCGTTCAACGGTTGACCGGAAATTTTTTATATATATATTTACATTTAATGATAAAAAAAATGAAAAAAAGTCGCTGCAAATATTATTTAATTTTAATTTTTTGTAGATAAAATCATTTTGTTAAATTTTAAATAATTAATCGTATGTTGCAACTACAATTTTAGAATTTTTTTAGTAATTATAATTTCAACATTTTAGAAAACTAAACTACTTATTTAATTTGTGGAGATAGAAGCCATTTTTTTTATTCGAAACAATTATTCGTATGTCTCTAATTAAAATGTTAATATTTTTTTTTTTCTCAAAATTAGGTGTTACACACATTTTCTCAGTTTTCTTATTTATTTGGTTTTATTATAAAATAAATTAATATTTTTTTTAGTAACTACACTTTCAACATTTAAATAAATAAACTACTTTATTATTTATTTTGTTTCGTGGAGATCAAAGCTAACTTTTTAATTCGAAACAACTAATTGTAATTAAAATTTTAATATTTTTTTCCCAAAATTAGGTGTTACACATATGTTCTCAATTTTATAATTTTAGTATTCGCTTCGCTTCTAAAGTTGGGGCGAAAGAAAGGGAAACTGAAGCAAAAGGTCCTAACTTTCTTACTTTCCAGCCCGCGAATGACTCGAGTAAGTTCGGTCAGTGGCCAAAGAATCTGTGGAGGGAAAGCTTCTGCCAATGTTCGTCTGTTTTCTCTTGCACACATTTGCCAATTTTGTTATTTATTTGGTTTTATTATATTTTTTTGTTGGTGTGTTAAGTTTTATTGAAAATAAATTAAGGGTTATACATGTTTTATCAATTTTATCATTTTTGTTGGGTTCGGCTTCTGTATAGGCGGTTTCGCAGTTTCAGAAGTGGCTCCTCGAGCTTGGGATCCTTCTTGGTGATTGATTGCTTCTCTGCTGTTCAGCCCGCTTGTTTGCTGCGGAAGGGCACGCCCAGTGTTATTTAGTTTTTATTCCTATTTTGTGTTTTTTGAGTCTGTGTTGTTTCTCATTAGGTGTTTTTGGTATGGGCCGTTGGCTCCTGTTGTAGTGTGTTTTTGGTTTGGGCGGTTGGCCCCTGTCTTGTGTGAGCCCGGCCGTGTTCGGGTATTCTCCTGTTGGGAGCGTTCCATATTCTCCTGTGGGGAGCTTTGTGTTTCTTTGTTTGTGTTGTAGTGTCGGTTGTGTTTGAGTTTTGTTTTTGGTTTCTAGCTTTGCTAGCTGCGGTTCTAGGCGGTCTTTGACCTGTCCTCTCATTTTTTCAGCCATTGGTTGTATCTTCAGCTATGGGTTGTACTTTGCACAGTTGTGCGTTTTAAGTATTATTATATATATATATTTAAGTTGGAATGTTGATATGTTTTATTCAATGAATTCATTTTAGTCTTTCAAAATTAATTTATCATTTTATTTTGTTTATTAGTCTTCTAAAAATTACTTTATTCTTTTATTTTGTATGTTTTAAAAATAAATATATGCATGAAATGCGTTGGAGATGATAATCAACAATTATTATTTATTATGTGGACAGTGCTTTCTTAAGAATTCACAGTCCAATTGTTTACTGCCACGTGACAAAAAAAAAATTAATGTTGACGGTGTCTCACCGAAGATGCTCCAAAAAATCTTTGGGCATGAAAAGTGATGATCCAAGTTGATAAAATAATTAAAATCCAACCCCCTATTTTCCAATATTGTAGAGTAACGATCTTCTGAAAGAATAACTAATGAAATTAGATTTTTACGGATGATTTTCTCAAATCACAACATTATTTGTTCCAACTCTTAATTAATACTAGTAAATTTTCTTCCCGTCCAGCATAATGACTGGTGCAAACAAGTCAAGCTGAGTCGAGTATTGACATTATCGAACCGATATCGATTTTCTTCATTGTTGTTCGTGCTCAACTTTTGAAGACTCAAGTCAACAATGATGTACAAATATTTAACTTCGAGATCAACTCAATTTCATCAACTCGAACATCGCTCAAGTTAGGTTCAAATTTCATAAACATTTCAATTCAAATAAGATTTGTTCTCAATTTGGCTCGAATTTAGTTTTAATTATATATATTTAGGTAACCTAACTTATATTCGAATTTATAGCATCAAGCTCCCCCGTACAGCTCTTGTAAGAAAGTTGAGTGGAGATAACTGATGTGGGGTATCTATTTTTTTGCAATTCTGATTACTTTTTCCCTATTTTCACTCTTGTCCATTCCACTAGCTAAAATCAACTTTTTATCCTCAACCACTTGATCAAATGAAAAAGTCCATGTGTATATAAATACACTTATGCAGAAGCATGGGAGGGGGAGAAGAAACAAAGGAGAAAAATAGAGAAAACAGAAAGCAGAGGAAAAATAAGATCAAGATAGTTTTATTGAAGAAAAAATGATTGTTATCAATGTAAGAAACGGGAGAAACAAGTGCAGTCTCATACACGTAAAGCGTACCATGACAGGGTGAGCTTTGATGCACCTTCTGATCTTATTGAGTTTCCATCCCAAAATTAATTAGTGGGAGAAGAAGTAGTTCACTAGGCTTATAAGTTAATTTTATTTTCCCTATACAAACAATGTGGTACAACTTACAAGTGATATTATATTTTAATGATCAACATAGCAAAAGAGAAGAAAAAAGATATTTTTATTTATCATATAAATATCATTCAATTTTTAAGTTCTCAGTTTTCAACTCCGTTCTAGTTCATCGGAACTCGTAAGACTGGTGTTCTTCAACTTTCGAGAAGTTTCCGTTGTATCTTTGAGGACGATACGCGTAAAACATCATCACTACAGGAGCGTATTCATCTTGTAGAAAGAGTTTACTCGCCTTAACTATATAATCTTTTTATTTTTCAAACTATTATTTAATTTCAGTTTATTGTAATTTTCTATATTTAGTTCAATTGTAAGAACTGAAAAATACACTCCAGTTCGTAGGATTCCGTATATTTCAACACTCCTTAATTACTAGCTCCAATTCAAACCGAGGTGCTCAAACTTATCAAACCCGAGTTGCGAGGCTAGCGAGTTGCAATTGCGCACATTGATACGATGTTACAATGAAATTACAATTGCCATTCTCGAGAATCGAATTGTTACATAAATGATAAATGAACACAATAATTCTCAAGAATTAGATACTTACCCATGAGTCGACACTTCCGTTTTACGTTTTCCCCTTCACAAAATAAAGAGTCCCAAAATCCAACCTACTTTTATAAAGTATTCTCAATTTTTCAGCCACTTATAAAAAAATCCCACATCAAATGCAAAATATTGGATCATTTCATGAATTCTCCAAACCTCAGTGATGGGTTTTAGTACACCAACAAAATCACTACAAACTGTTTGAGATTGAGGTTAGCCCAAACAAAACAGTACCCACAAAATTTTCAGCAAAATATGGAACGACTCCAAAGTTCCTTCAGCAATCCTAACAAATTATCTAAA